CTTCCCGCTTCTGTTTCATTAAATGCCCTTACTTTACGTTTGTCTTGACTGGCTTCTATTTACAGAAATTGTAAACCAGCTGAATGCTCTGAGCAGCTTAGATGAAGATCAAGATGACTGCGTAAAGCGAGCAAATATGCCTTCAGCTAAATCAGCCAGTTCCTCTGAAGGTCTATGAGCTTTCCTCCTTTCTTTCTGTTTCTGATTGTCTGTATTTACTGTGACCTGTTACCTTTTGACTCCTGCTTGTATTCAGCTGTCAGCTTTATCTCTGTGCTTCCACCCAGCATGACTCTCAGTAATTTGTAGTGCATCCAACAGGTAACAACATGATAGAGAAAGGCACTATCTCCTCTACAGCTGCATTGTCATCTGATAATGAACAAGAAAGGGAAAAAAGAATCTATCTATATAAACAATGCTAAAATATTAGCTGTACGGTTAATAATACTTGACATCTCTAACTTGACAGAATGTCCCTTCTTGGATTTTACATGCACATTACCTCAAAAAATTAAACTTCCTACTGATAGTTAGCATGTATAAAAACAATTGAGAATAAATTGTTGCACTTAGCTCTTTTTAGATGTGCTATAGTATTTATTTAAGATAGATCTAGAAAGCTTTCTTGGAAGTAATTTCTATTAAATAGCATCTGATCAGCAAATAGAAGTTTCATGTGTTCTGCTTTCTTTTTTTTTTTTTCCACCTGTTTGGAAATGCTGGTGTGTTACTAAACGTATTAGATTAGCTGTAGAGTTGGTGTCGCATCCTGCTGCAGTGTTTTGAGGGGCTATCGGTATCCATTTTTTTAAGTTTGGGATATGTCAGATGTATAGTTTGTATCTATACTGAAACAGTATTCCAACTTGTTTCTAGAACTTATCAATAAACTTAATTTTCTGGATGAAGAGGAACAAGACCTGGCCAACTCCAGTACAAATCCTTTTGATGAACCTGATACAGCAGAATTAAATCCATTTGGGGACCCTGATGTAGAAGGTAATGGATTTGCTTTTCCTAATTCATTATTAATATCAAGTGCTTAATGAAGTATGATTTTTTTTTTGTTCAGTTACAAAACTTTTTTTTTTTTTTTGGATTAACAAAAGTTATTGCATATGGTACTGAGGTAGCAATACCAGCAATCACAGTTGCCACTGGAAAGCGAATTTGTTTCTTGGGTCACATCTCGGGGTGTATTTGCTCTGGGGGCTGCTTGCTACCAGCTGAGCTAGAGACTTTTACAGCTAGCAGGTGTGTTCCTATTGCATAGCTGATATATTGCACAAGTGGTAGATGGGCAAAGCAAAGCACCAAGCCCCTCTGCTACGTGTGAGCACTGATTTAGGTCAAAACTTCCTTCACTGCAGTCTTCACTGTTTCACAGCTATTCCTGATTTAGACTAGCACTAATCTCCATTATTATTTTTAATGGTATCTCTTTTTTTCATCCTTTTTCACTTTTACGGTTTCCTCCCGTAAGCCTTCTGGCATCAAGCTTTGGTGGATGCTAATCCCCTTTCCAGATGGCTGTGCCTGTTCTGACTGGGGACAACTGCCACCACCTAAGCGATGCACCTGGTGGCACTTCAGTCATCAGGCAACCAGGAGAGGGGTCTCTGCTCTCCTCGGCTCTGTGTCCGGACGCGCAGGCCTCCGTTGCTTGCCGTGAATAAGGCACGGCTTGCCAAGGTTTGCCAGCCTGTAGCTAGGCCTCTAGTTAGGGCCTTTCCTTCATCGCTCCAAGACCTTTCTCCCCATGGAAAATACTGAGGAGTGTGTGCCACATTTGACCAGACCCCAGGAATCACTCTGTAAAAGCAGTAGAAAAGAACAGCCTGGAGCGCAGACAGGGCATTGCTAATGCCAGGTCTCGTGAGGATTCAATTCTGCTGTGTAGTGTTCCCCTCTCTCTCTGGACAGGCTGCATGGTCGCTCACAACATCTCCTTTCTGTCTTTGGAGCTCACTCACTGAGCTCCGTGTGGATGGTGATCCAAGTGCTCTAATACTTTTGCTCTTGTGCAGTGTGACAGCCACATTGCTCAAACAGCAGCCTGTCTTCTGTCCCAGGCCCTGCTTCCCCTTAAAAAGATCTTTTTTTTTTCTAGAGCTGTGGAAACGAATTGTTTCAGCTTTACACTCTATATATCAGTGTTTGTATGTTTGGTGTCCATATCCTTGGCTTCCTTTCCTGTCTGTGCCTCAGCTATAAATTCTCCTAAGATCAGAGTTATCGGGGAAATAAACTGGGGAAAACACAATACCTCTTTGCCCACGCAGGCCTCTGTGCGGTGCTTGCCCTGAGAGGCTCCTCCATGCTCCACTGGCCTCTCCTGCAGCAGGAACAGCCCTCTCCTCCCTGCAGAGAGCTAAGGCCCCTTCTACCTAACCCGCCACCTCAGCCAGCTTCTCTTTCCTTCTCAGAGAGCCCCTGCTCTGGTAGGAGGCCGCAGCCTTCGGGCCACGAAACGGAGGGACGGTGCGTTCCCGCTCATCCCAGACACAGCAAGCTGCAAAGCGGTTGTTCATTAGTGCCGCAGGAAGTTCATGCTTGTCCAGCTTCAGCCTGTTCACATTCCAAAAGTCTCCCACCGATTGTATGGTCACAGTCTCACAGTCAGTTCTGGTCCCTTGTTGGTGGCTTCTGTTCCCTGCTGCCGTTTGCCATCACACTCCTGGTACCTCGTTGTTGCTCTGGGGCTGTTCTGCAGACACTTGTGTCCTCAAAGAAGGCCCAGGAGTGCTCGATATTCTTCCCCTGCATTCCCACATCATGAAGTTGTCAACATGCTACAATGTTACAGTGATTTCCATAAATGGGGTGTCACTAGATCCTTCCTACTGTGTCAGAAGATTTTTATTTTTTGCGAGGGGGAGGGATGGAGCCTCTGTCAGGTTCTTGGGGAAGCAGTGCCCTTTGCAGCCCTGAGCAGGGGAAGATCTGAGGCATTTCAAGCTCTCACACCAAGATCAGAACATCTGATGTGGCATTTTTAAAGCTTTTACTTTCTGATTAATGGCTCCACGGGGATTCTTCTAGTCACCTCAGACACCTGGGAGAACTGTGTTCTCTTCCACTCCCTCTTCCACTCTTTCACACTTCCCTATCCGATTGGTTGTGTTCATCCTTCCTTGCATGATGTTCTTGGTCAAGGGTGTCTTGCCTCTAGTCCACTTCTGTCAGAGCAAGTTGAGAAAAAATGCAGTGCTAGAAGAAACTAGATCAAGACAGTTCTGGTCCCCCAGTTGGAGATGTCTTCAGCAACCACAGGAATCTTCTATGTTGGCCTGTGGTTAATCCAGTCCCATCTCTCACCACAGGATGCAGCTGGACCTTAGTGTTTATGGGAGATTTCCCCTCGTTTAGGAGAAATCTCCCATGAGACCCCAGTTCTCCGTGAAATTTCTGTTTATTGCTGATGTCCCCTTTGAGGAAGCTCTTAGGGTCTGTGTCCACTTTTTTGCTTTTGCATCCTTCAGTGAGTGTAACCTTTTGGGTGGTTATCCCAGGATCCTGGGAGCATGACAGAGGTTCAAGAGTTTAAGGCAGACTTTCTCCTTCAGGCTGGAGGAGTCACATTACCTGTTTCAACTGTCTCATGAGCTACTTAAAAGAAGAGATTAATCTTTACGTATGCAGGGAGTTTGCCTCACCTTCTTATCAGGACAAGGCAAAAACTTACGAGGTTCTGTCTGTGTTTGGAGGAACTCTGTAGCATCTGTAACTTCATTTCTTCAGTACATGAAGAGCAGCCACCTGGAACCTCTTTTCCCAGCTACGTTGCCATCAGAGGCTGCAAGGTACAAGGCACCAGTCTGTCCGAGATACAGGAGAGCTGTAGATATTTGTTGGCTTGTTTCCTAGACAGGTATTTCTTGGGCCTGTTCACAATCTAGCTGCTTTCCCTCTACCTTTCGAATCCCCTAATCCTGGAAATCTGGAGTGGCGAGAAAGTGAAGCCGTGAGGGCTCCCACCGCGCACGCCGGGGTTGGGACCGGCCTCGGAAGCGCCCAGTTTTACTGGTCGTGCCCAGGGGAGTGAACGTGCGTAGGAAGATCCCAGACAATCTTCAAGCAATGGAAAAGAAACCTGCTGCCTCTTGACCGGTAGGTCAACGTGAGGCTTATTTTTCCTATATTTAATAAATCAGTTGGACATCAGAAATCTAATAATCTGCAAAAATAAAAATAATCTGGTCAATGTATATATACAGCTTTTTAGTAGGCAATATGTAGCCAATTACTTATTTGATCATCTTTTTATCACAATACAACTCTATACTAAAATGAATTTTTGTGCAAAACATTTTCCATATGGAAATTAGTTTATATAACAAACACAAATACAAAACCACAAAATGCTGTCAGCACTCCAGATATGCCCTAGATATTTTTAATTAGGTAAGGAATGCTAATTTGAAATCACACGTGACCATGACAAGTTTCTTGCAACACAAGGGGGGACAGGAGGTAATTATTTTCTGTCACCATCCCTCCTTTCGTTTAATACAGCATTTATTTCACTAGTTTCTTTCTTTGTCTTGTGCTTAGGGAAGAAACATCTTTATTCTGAGCTGCCTGTTGCGCCGCTCACGGCACCTTCACATCTGTGTCTGCCAGTGGGGCAGCAAATGGCCTCGCTGAGTATCTATCACATGTGGCTTGTTCTTTCATCCCGTGCCAGGGGGAAGGTTGTGCGTGTAATGTTTTGGTGGGGTTTTCCTTTGGTTTTAAGGGGTATGTCACAACGTGTTTGTGTTACAGGAGCAAGTGGGCTGAAGGGCAGGGTGATTTTTGGAGATCTCTGGGCGCTAGCAGGGGGATTGTGCAGATAGGCAGCGCCAGCCGGGGTGATGACTGTCACCATCTGCCTTCTCGTGGGGCTGGAGCAAGTCGGGTTTCCAGAAGTGGGCACAAAAGCAGATGGTGCTTGTGCTGTAGTGATACTTCTGCCTCTTCTCCTGTTACTCCTACCCCTGTGGCTTTATTACTTAACCATGCAAAATGATCATGTGTTCAACCCGTGCAGTGCCAAATTGTAAATCAGTAGCTAACGTCATTTCTTTTTTTCATCTGTGCAAAGAACTGTAATTAAAAAAAAAAAAGAAAACCCTCCTGCGTTCAGGTGGAGACTGGATTCCTGTGCTTTCACTTGTGAATAATGATCTGGGGGAGGCCAGGAAAGCCGTGTGGTGTCCTCAGTGTGAAACCAACCTGGAGCAGGAACTCAGCCCTTTGTAAGCTGCTGGATGCTCAGGCCCCCCAAATGCAATTCCCAGCCTCATTAGCACTTGTTGCTAAATACAAGTATCTTTGCTGCAGAGAAGGTAAATGTGGCTGGAGCTTTGGAAGCAGTGCAATGGCATAGCAATATAATTCATTTCAGAGAGTGATGTGCAACACAAGTTAAGCCTGAGAGGTACCTCACGGGAGATATGCTGGTTGGGCACAGGGGAGCGAGCAAAGGTGCTGCCTCTT